TGGTCACAGGACAGATGTGAATCACAAGAGAGGCCAGGTATTTTGCCATATCACATTCGATGATGCAAAGCTGTATTTGCTATGGCACTCGACTTCATTACATGTGAGTCAGATTGAGTCACTGTGACAAGTGGTTGCTGGCTGGATGTATTTTCATATGAATGTGGGCAATGCTCAGGTTTGTAGGTCGATCATACCAGAAAACGAAGGTAGATTATGCCAATCCAACGGGTTCACCGATTTCCCTCGGCAGCTTTCGCAATTGCCCATCCAACTCTTGAGCTCCATGCCTAGTCTGCCAATTGTGTCCAAGCTTTTCTGTATCATCCACTTGGAACCGCTTATGCGGAATGCTCCAATTTCAGTTGTTCCCGTCGTTCCAGTCTCAATGAAACATTTGGTTTCTGTTCAATCGGTTCAGCATGTGGACCTGGATTACGAAATCTCAAAGTTGGGAGGCTACACTTTCAAAGTGTCTCTGAGTATGAGAGCATACCAATATGACTTGACCAAATCAATTCTGACCAGCGAAAGGAGATGATGATCAAATTCTACAAGTCAGCTTTGCAGCCACTTTTGAGGAAAAGCTCCTTAGATTATTAAGGTGGGCATATTTCATAGGGACATCGAGATGGTCTATTGGTAATGCGATCCGTGAGGAAAAAACCCGCGAAACAGACTTATCTTCCAGAAATGAATCGAGTCGAGGCAACATTTAAGTCATAATTTGGCATTTTTGTACCAATATAAAATAAACTAACTAAAGACTATGCAATGCTCCCTCTATTAGCATATTTTACATGTGGCGTAATGTTTAGTATTGTGCCAGCCAAGTTGATAAAATGCGTGACTATCATATTTCTAATCCTCTCTTAAATTGCAAATTGTGCATAAGACAAGTCAAATGACATTGAAATGAGTAGAGCACATGATGCAAGTAAAGTTAACTTATCCCTGCTTGTTTGAAAGCTTCCTCACACCAGCTGGACTGCGGGTTCGACCTCAACCAGGTCCCATCATCACCACTTCAATGAGGTTCGAAACCAAGGGCGAATAAGTTAGCCCACCACAACATAATGGTGGTTATCAGTGAATTGCAGTGCTCGATTTTAAAATACTAAATTTATCTGCTTATTTCAAACTTTCCAGGAAAGCTAAGAATGGCATTAGCCAAAAACAGTGTTTTCGAGACTAAAATAAATTATAATTAATTATAGAAGTTGTTTTATCTTGTTTTCGCAACTCGGTCATGTTGGTAGGAAGACTTGGAGGAACGCACCTTGTCCGGAGTCCATTGTCTGCATCATCATTTCAAGAGTAGGACCGTGGACGTGGTACATTCCCAGACGTGAGTCTCGCCATTCGTAGCACCACACAACTCGTCAAAGAGACAAGTGAAGCCCATCCTTTGACGAAATGTCTGCTAAACAGTTATGGTATCTCCCATTCTTACTTGGCCTATTTAGATTGCAGAAACGGGGAACGATACCAAAATGTTTGCAACAATTCCAAAAGGCCAAATGA